TGTCTCATACATACACAAAAAAAAAAAAAAAAAAAAAAAAAAAAAAAACAAACAAACAAAAATCAACATCAAGCCACATTCAGCAAAAAAAACTTTGGATCTGAAGTTGTGATGTGCCGCCAGTGGTGCTCGTCGATTCTCAGGAGGTTGGAGATACATCGACCATCCATCTTCCCTCTTTGTTGTCGCCGCCATCGCTTGAACCCTAACCGGCGGCAGATCTGAAACCCTTGTTTGCAAACCATCGCTTGAAACCCTAAACGTCGCCGCCATCAGAGAGAGCTGGAACAACATCGCCAGAGAAGGAGAGAGACGGACGGCTCAACCATCGTCTTCGTCAAGTTGTAGCTCGAAGAGACGGTTGTTTCGGAAATCAATTCTCAATCGAAATCCAAAATGGTTCCAGAAATCAATTCTTGATCGAAATCAGAAGAAGTGAGAAGTAGGGAGGGATAGCATGTGGGTGAATCAGATAACTTCCAACAAGTGGGTTTCTTCTCGGCGGCTCACGGGCCTTCTGAGGCGTTGAGGTGGTAGTTGTATGTTCTTGAGTGGGAAATGTAGTGATGTTTGACACATTTAGGTTGATTTAGTTTGGTGAAGCGAGGGAAATGTAGTGATGTTTGACACATTTAATTTTTAATTTTTAATTAATAAATTATTAAAGAAAATATAAAAAATACAAAAGAAAAATAATAATAAACATGGCAAAACAGTCTTTTCAAGTCCTCCAGGGATCAAAACCAAACGAATTTCTTGATTTTAGACCTTCAATGCAAGTTGAAAACTTTTTGGACCCTATCCAAAGTTTTTTAAATACCATAGGGACCAATTTTACAGTTTTTTCTTTACTGAACATAAAAGGGGAAGTGTAAAATGGTATTTTTATTTCTTTTGTGTCCGTATGAATTTACTAATTTATTGGGAGTACGCCTCCTCAGAAATAAATAAATAAATAAATAAAAATAATAAAAAATAAAAAATTCAAGAAAATGATTTTCCTCCCTAATCCATTCTTTTCCTCTCATTTCCTTCTAAAAAAATAAAAAATAAATAAATAAAATAAAAAAAAAACTCAACAACACGGTTTAATCCTTGTAAAGTTACATTTTTTTATCCTTATGACATACATTTGCTATGGCATTTTGGTGTAAATGACAATTTATTACCAAAAACAAAAAGACAATTGTTCGAGAGTAACAATTATCTAGAGGATAAAAAAGGTAATTCATGATTAGAATTTTGTCAAAACAAAAAGAATTGAACTTACTTAAATTATTTAAAAATAAATTGTTGATTTTGTTTTGATTCAAGGGGATTCTCGAAAAAACTAAATCCTCATATCAAATTCTAAATAATCTAACGGATTATAAATGAGTTTAAATAGTCATTAAAAAAATTGAGAATTCGATCCTCAATCATAAAACCTAATCGAAATGTGGTAGCACAACTAATTACATTTACCAATTCACCAATACATCACGAAAATTTATAAAACAATCGGAGGGTCGAGTAATAAGCATCACTCACCGAAGAATACAACGAAGAAATTAGACTCATGAATGGCCACCGACGGCTCCGGTACGGCAGTGTTTCTGTTTATTTACCTTCTTAGCCACGAATGGAAGAAATAAAACACATCATGCTAGAGTGCTAGTACCCTTCAGTTTAATAAATAAATTTTTTTTTTTGGAACCGGCAAATATATTATATTAAAAGACCTGCCACCCGCCTAGCAAGTAGCTAGACGGGCAAAAACAGACAACCCAAGTAATACAGAGAAAATATTTTTTTTACAAACAGCTGAAAAGACAATTAACCCACTCGACCCATTTATAAGAACACTTTGATCTCCTATGCTTAACCCATGTGAAAACCTGTGACTTGATGATCTCCACCACCTTGGTTGGGGTTATACAATTGTTTTTAAAAACTCTATCACATCTTGCTTTCCATAACCACCACATTGTTCCGTAGCAGATGCAGATTAAGTTGTTCCGTCTGTTATGACAGCCCCTTCCTGAGTTAACAAATTCAACCACATCTCCGACCTTTTTAAAATGTTCTAAAGGAAAATTACACCATCTAAAAATCTAGTCCCATACATTAATTGCAAACGAGCAGGTGGTGAGGATGTGGTCGGAATCCTCAACAACTTCAGAACAATAGCTACATGTCATGGGGCCTGCATGTAGACCTCTCTTGGATAAGGCATATAGGGATGGGATACGCCCCTGTAATGCTCTCCACACAAAACACGTGATCTTAC